GTGTTTGTCTTATTTTTATTAAAATATTTCAAATGGTTCAAAGACTAAAGAGTATTCCAGATATTCAGGGTAAAGGTTTGCTCCCACTTCATGCCCTTTCTGTCCAGTTCTGCCCCCACCCCCTCACAGGTAACCACTTTTATTCATTTTATATTCCAAATTGTTAGCATAACAACCAAATATAAAAGTAATTTTTAATTCCCTCCACATGGTTTTTACCCTAAAGGTAGCACATCAATGACACTATTCTGCGTGTTACTTTTTTTCATAATAATTCTTGCAAGTCTTCCTCATCAGTACATAGAGAATCCTCATTCATTTTTTCCATTGTGAGTAAGTTTGTCCCTTACTAGTGGATACAGGTAGTTTCCAGTCTTTTCATATTGCAAATGATGCTGTAGCAAGTAACCTTGTACCCATGTGAATTCACACAGGTGAAGATTATGAGTGAGACTGAGTATTTTTGTATGTTTAAGAGCCATTTATTTTTCCTTCTCTGAGAATTGCCTCTTCCTCTCCTTTGTCGATGAAAGAAAAATAGGTTTTTAGGAGCTCTTTATATATATTAGGGAAATTACAGGTCAGAGAATAGGACTGCCTTGTCTGGTTTTTTTTTAAAGATTTTTTAAAAAAAGGAAAACACACAAAAAAAACTAAATCTGGGTTACCTTTTTTCTACAGGTCGTTGCCTAGGGGTTATTGTGTCATCTCAAACCAAAAACCAAACTCACTGCCATCTAGTAGATTCCAACTCATAGTGACCCCCATTGGATTTCCGAGGCAGTAATCTTTATGGAAGTAGATTGCCCCACTTAGTGACTGGTGGGTTTGAACCACCAACCTTCTGCTTAGCAGTCAAATGCCTTAGGCACTGCGCCACCAGAGCTCCTGCCATTGTATTGTCTAGATGTATGTAAAGAATGAGTTCTGAAACTCTATTCTTGCTGAGTGGGACCATCACCTTTTTCTCTCCCCAGGGCTACGGCATGGCATACACTGTCCACAAGTGGTCAGAGCTCAGCTGGGCCAGTCACTGGGTCACTTTTGGATGCTGGATCTTCTACCGCCTCATAGGCTGAGGCACATCTGTGGACCCTCCTGGCCCCCAAGACCCCTCCTTAGGGTGCCAGCTCTGATAAGGGATGAGGGAAGACCATCTCTCTACCCCTTTCCCCTCTCCATCCTTGACTCCCAACACCCCCAACACACACACACACACACCACACTTACCACACTCCATTTCCATGCCTCTAGATCCCCACCCCACCACAAGGCAGGGGAAGGGTAGTGCCTATTGGGGCCTAGGGGTGGGGGGATGCTTGGGGAAGCAGAGAGGGGGATATCCAGTGCCTCCCCACCTTCTCCCTTTTTTATATACAGTTTGTTATTGTCAAATAAAAGTAGGAAAGATACAATAGGCTCTTTCTTCACTGTTCAGAGGGGAACAGGAATGGGTGAGGAAGGGGATACAACATGGGTAAAAGTTTGGAAGCTGAAAACCGTGAAGAGGGAGCAGGTTGTCATTGGTGCCTGGTTAATTTAGGACTTGTAATTGGTTCATGATTGGATGATGAGCCCAAGGATTGTAGAGTCCTGGTCCTGACTGATTTGAGTGAGCAGGAACAGATTGGATAGTTGGGTGAGGGAGAGGGCTGATACTAATTAGCTGGAAAACGAAGAGACACACATCTGATTTGTTGCTCTGAGTTGGGCAAAGAGGAGTGAAAGTTGATGAAGGGTTGATGCTTATTGTCCCTTAGGAATGAGGGTTCTGGGTTTTAATTGGATGGGAGATCTGAGATGGATCCTAAATGTTTCCTTGATAATTAGACAACAAGACTGTAGGAGCTGGTTTCTGCTTAGCTTCGTATTTGAAATCAGGACAGGTGAGGATGGCCGCTGTCATTAGGGCTGAGGAGTTCTAAGAGCTTACGTATTTAGGGACTGAGGGGCGGCTGGGCGGAGAATGCGATCTGTTGATCTGCTTGTAAAGTTTCCTTGTCCGTTCGGGCCATCAGGACTGGGGGTTTGTTCCAAGTAGGATTAGTTGCGCCGCCTAGAAAATAAAGGACACAATGCAATGATGATTCACCAGCACAGGAGGGATAGCATGCACATTTTAAGGATTCCCGGCAGTGACTGCTCTTACTATACCATGGGGAGAGCGGGGCAGTTAAAACCGAGATGCCAATTGGCTTGGCAAGGACACCCCCCCCTACACGAGCCCACGCCTCCTGGGCCGGTCCCCGCCTCCAATTCACTCCTGACTTGGTCTCAGCAAACAGTGAAAATGGAACCAAGCGTGAGGGCGGAGCCCGCGGCGCATAGAGAACTTCTATTGGTTGGGAGCAGCACTGTCCACCTTCCCGACCTTTCCATTGGTCCACTCTTTAAGGTGGGGTAACCTGTGAGGGGCTGGGCATGAACAAGTGATGTTCCGAAGCCTGCAAGCCCTCTTAGATCCAGGAGTCGGTGAGAGAGGACACAGCACAGCGATCGTGCGCCGCTGGGTGAGTGTCCCCTGCAAGGCCATCTACTCCATCTCCTAGTTCTCTATAGCCAGATGACCAGCCCAAGGCACGCCTACACGAGACCCTTCCCCTATCACCACCCAACCACCAAGCGCCTGCTCCAGACCCCTGCGGTTGTTAGGACGAGGGAAGATCCGCCTTCTCATTGGACAGCTGGACTTCAGGGTTCTGGCTCATTGGTGGTCTCTGTGTTTGACCATCCTTTTCCTTTTTAGAAGGAGCTTTGGTGGCGCAGTACCTAAGGCGTTGAACTGCTAACCAGAAGGTTGGTGATTCAAACCCGCCAGCCACTCCGTGAAAGAAAGCCTGGGCAATCTACTTCTGTAAAGATTTACTGCCTCGGAAATCCAATGGGGGTCGCTATGAGTCGGAATCGACTCGATGGCAGTGAGTTTGAGTCTCCCCCCCTTTTTTAGGCACTCTGGTGGCATAGTCGTTAAACCATTTGGCTACTAACCAGAAGGCTGGAAGTTCTAACCCACCAGCTGCTCTGCGGGAGAAAGATGCGGCAATATGCCTCCGTAAAGATTTGCAGCCTTGGAAATCCTATGGGGCAGTTATACTCTGTCCAAAAAAGGGTTGCTATGAGTTGGAATAACTCGATGGCAATGGGTTTTTCCTCTTAGCACTGTGCAAGACCCCTGCCATCCACTCTTCCCTCTTATTGCATGTTGTCAGTATTGTGTACTGTTGGAGGAAGGGTTTGGATTTCCAAATCAGGGCCTAAGGTCACGATTCTGATTAATTGTCTCTTTTCCATTCCCCAGTTGAAGTTTCCAGGGCTAAGGGTAGGGGAAAGCAAGACAGTGACTCACCATGGGACCAGGCCTGGTTTCCTTGTCTCCTCCACCAGACTGAACCCTGAGGGAAGGATTCTGTGTTTCTGCCCCTAGACTGTGACCCAAGAAAGTGGGGACCAGGCCTGGTTCCTATGTCTTTCCCAGTAAACTAACCCCTGAAAGTGGGGACAGGGCCCTTGTTCCTGTATTTCCCCCACCAGACTGTGACCCTGAGCCTGAGACCAGGCTTGGTTCCTGTGACTCTTGGCATAAGGCTTTGTTACTGTGTCTGTTTCACTAAACTATGATCATCAAGGGAGCTCTAGTAGCGTAGTGTCTAAGGCACTTGACTGCTAACCAGAAGCTGGTGGTTCAAACCCACCAGCCACTCCTTGGAAGAAAGGTGGGCAATCTACGTAGTTATACTGCCTTGGAATCCCAAGGAGGGGTGGCTATGAGTTAGGTCCTACTTGAGGGCACATAACAACACAACAACAATGATCATCAAAGGGTAGGAACCAAGTCTGATTCCTTTATCTCCCTCATCAAAATATGGCTCCCTGAGGGCTAGAACAAATCTTTTTTTTTTTTTTTTTAATTGTGATTTGGGTGAAAGGTTACAGAGCAAATATTCACTTTCCATACAGCAGTTCACATACACTCTGTCTCAAGACATTGACTACAATTTACCACAATGCAACAGCTCCCCTCTCAGTTCCTCCCCTTAGTTACTTCTTCCCTGTCCCCATCATGCACTCCTGCCCTCTGAGCTATGTCCCTGTCCATACACAGCCCTTCTATTCTCCCATGATTGTTCTCTCCAAGGAGTGTATTTACCTAGTGTAAATGTTCACCTCATATGCCTGTCTTTTATTTGGCTGGGAGCCATAGGAGTGGGTTCAATTCCAGACCTGAAGGGCAGCTAGGGGCCATAGTCTCAGTGGTTCCATCAGGCTCTATCAGACCAACAAACCTGGTACCTTTAGAATAAATCTTATATTTTAGTCATGTTCTTAAAATAGCATATAATTATTTTTTTTAATATAGTCTTATAGTCTGTCTTTTAACTAGTAAATTTAGTCCATTTACATTTATTGTGATTAATGAACTATTTGGAGTTGATTTTACTGTCTCATTCTGGGCTTTCTATCTGTCCAGGTTTTTCTGTTCCTTTTTTCTTTTTTTCTACTTAACTGCACACAGCCACAAAGATATGACCACCAACATCAGCCCCTTGCATCCATATTGGCCTCGGCACCTAAGGCTGGACAATTTTGTGCCTAATGACCGCCCTGCCTGGAATATCCTGGCTGGCCTTTTCTCTGTCTCTGGAGTTTTGGTTGTGACCACATGGCTGTTGTCAGGTCGAGCTGCAGTTGTCCCACTGGGGACTTGGAGACGACTGTCCCTGTGCTGGTTTGCAGTGTGTGGGTTCATTCACATGGTGATTGAGGGGTGGTTCACCCTCTACCATGAAGACCTCCTTGGAGATCAAGCCTTCTTATCTCAACTCTGTGAGTCCTGAGTTCTTTCGTGGGCAGTGGGAGGGAGTATTATGGACAAGGATTGGCTTGGATGTTTATATACCCACCAACTCTTCCATTAATTTATTTTTTGGGACCAATTGTTTGTTCCAGACAACCACAGCAACACTTACTGTCCCATGTAAGGCTTACTTACATTATCTTTTTTTTACATATACAGGTAGTCCTTGACTTACAACAGGGTTCCATT